CAACCAAGCCTTTATCTGCTACATCAATCTGCTATCGGATTTCCGCATTTTTATGCATTTCTAAGATATAAGAATAATTATACAAATTAAGACGGGAACAAGAAGTTTTTATTGTAACTATCTAGATGACATTTCAGTTGTTACCTGGAGCTCATAACATACTTTGGTTTACTAAAAGTTTACGTCTGAAGTAAGGGCCTCTAATTCTTCTATACACTATGTCTTAGTACCAACTTCTGAAGCTGTTATGTGAAAAGCATTTTATTATTTTTAGGTCAGTGAAATTGATTTGTCCAGAGCCTTAGTAAAGGAAACTATGTTAGTCAAATCTGAAATCTGAATTTAAAATGCAGATTTCTTTGTTACCCCTGAGGACTAAGATGGAATGCCTCGTTTCCAGTAAAAAGGATCTCTAGTTCTCTATACTCACCATACGAAATACAGTAACGTTAAACTGCTACGCGTACTTAACTCTGGTAATCTGTGAGAGCGTGGTCCTTCACCGGTCGAGCCGACCAAATTCGAGCTCTCTACAAATTTCGTTAACTTATCCGTACGTTAACCAAATTTTATTCTTAATTATTTCTATCAAAAGAAAAATGAATTGTTTTAGATTTTAAATGTTTCGCTATAGCTTTACGTTGTACGTCGAACTTAGAGTGGGTATATCGGTCACTAAACGAACGCGTAGGCCGACGTTTACATTGAAACATAGATTTCGTTATAACAAATAACATGACATCACTTTTTAGATTGTAGTTTAAGACATTAGTGCACTAAACCTACGTAAACGGTACAAAGACTTTATAATAACATTATTAAATTAAATTGCTGCTTTTTAATGGAACATTTGTAATTTTACAACAGTAGTCCTTTTTCTAATATAATGTACAAAATGTATGTAATAGTTAACACTGTTATGTTTAATTTTGCACTGGTTCGGAAAATATCTAAAAATTATAAAAATCTGTCCTTGCAAGAACTAGCAAGAAGCTGGACATTTTTATTTGAAAAAAAAAAGACAGCAGTTTACAATCATTTCAATACGTTACACAATAATTATCATAACATCACAAAACAAATAAAACAAATAAGGAACAAAATTAATCAATGGATTATTAAAAACTCTAGTTGATTTCGTTGACATTATATATTTTAACTTCCTCGCCAGTGTATAAACAGCGTTATTTTAAAGTTTTACCGTGAACGAGAACAAGATGATAATTTATAACGAAATAAAACGATGTCTTTGTTATAATTCATTTATAATTAATGAACTTAGTATGATGTCATTTTTACTATCTGTATATTTTAAAGATGGCTTCCTCTAAACAAATTCCCCGAATCTACTATAAATTTATTAAATGAGACGAAAATATTTATATTCACCATTCACACACAAAGGATTGGACGGATTTTAATGAAGTTTGAGTTTTGTCCGATTTCGGAAATGCAAAAAAGTAGGGTTATGTTTTTCCTTCATTTAAAAGTTTCCTTTCACAACGACTGCTGATGATTCTATAGTCGTAAAGGGAAAACGTAGCGTTCTTAAAATGTAAACCTATAAACAAAAATTAATGATTGTTGATTATTTTTTGTATAATTTTGATTGATTAAAATGTGTAGGATAACGTGTAAATGCACACGTTATCCCACACGATTATTATTATTCCAACTTCTCTGTCCCAAAATAATCCAAATCTCAGGTCTGTATTTAAGTAATTCCATATTGTAACCAGGCCAGCCATATAGCTCAAATAACCGACAACCGATATGGAACAATGGTTTTCGAGCGGCGGCTTCGCACCGGTAAGCGAAGTGGAGTGACAGTGACGACCTGCTAAGACATTCAGGAAGTCGATGGAAGCTCAGCCATCAGCGTGAATCTTCGACTTCCTGTTCCTGACAACCTTGTTTTGTGGCATTTCTTGGGGGAGGCCTATATTCACCAGTGGACTTGTGAAAGTCTCTAATGATTTTGCGTAAAGACTTGTGACAGACAAACAGACAGACACCGATTTGAACCTATAAGTGTTGCGTCTTGTAAATTTTCGTTTCTTCAGCAATTGATTTTAATGTTAGAAGACGAAACGCTAAAACATTTCTTTCGACTTTTTAACCATTTCTTCAGTTTTTGCTGTCAGAGGACGTCCCGAGGTTTAGAGGGTCTCTTTGGTGGTTGTTATTTTAGGTTTAAATTCAGCAAACAATTTGCAACGATAAGATATGGCGAAGCTCTTATTTATAAATCTTGATTGACTTGTAGCATTGTGAAAATTTTCATGCACAGACGTGGTTCAAATTTTTCCATCGCCAAGATGCTACAATAAACAAGCAAACAAATGTCAATCTTCTACTATTTATAAACAAATAGTAATTAGTATATTTTTTAGGTATCTTACAGATATTGAAAATTTACCTGTATTTACTTTTAAAATTTAAAAAGGTTGTACCGCATTTTCCCTTTTTTCGAACGCTCCTCACATTCACCAACCTAGAAATATGGACTCTGCCGTCAAATACGGGACGCTGACAAAGTTAGTTTTTATCAAAAACAAAACACGGATATCTTGTTAACTTTATCACAAAATGTTTGCTTTTCTAACCATCGCGTCACACAGTAGATAGAATTTGTATGGATAACTTTACTTGACTTAACGCAATATTCAATTGTTTAATATTAGTTTCCTTTTTTTTATAGGATAAGGGTGACAAACGAGCATACAGTCCACCTGATGGTAAGTGATTGCTGCGGCCTATAGACATCTACATCTATCCTATATTACAAATCAAAATGTAGATGCGTTGTCACCCGTGAGGACTAAGATAGAATGCCTCATTTCCAGTAAAAAGTGCCTCCGGCCACCTGCACTCACCAAGCGAAACGCAGAGGTAAACCTCTACTTCACGCTGGTTTTCTGTGAGGTCGTGGTACCACCCCGGTTCGAGCCGACCCATCCGTGCGACAGCTAAAGCTGCCGCGTGGCTCTACCACTGTTAAAAATAACCTTAGTAACCTACAAAATTTCCCGTAAACAATCCATAGCTAGACATTACTCTCCCCCATCGTAGAAATTTGATTATATACATGATAAGATCAAAGTACCTATTAGAGATATATTTGCCGTTATTATCATGGTTGGCAGACGGATTAACGATCTCACTGGCAGTACCCTACGTCTCGCTCCCTTGACTAGTTTAGGCAATTTAATTACGGTGTATATATAATTTTATAATAATAATAAGTTATATATTTTTTACGAAGTAATTTTACCGTCATTTATTGGAATTTTCTAGATTGGCTTCTTACGACTCCCACGTCAGGGTGTAAGATGAGACGGTGGCGATTTTTATTCTAATATGTTAACATCGTTAACACCGATAATACCGCCACCACAGTACACATTACAATTGTATTTAGTACCGCACCGAGCATGATGACAAAGGCGAATCCTCATAAAACGGGATATGCTAGGTATATGTAATGTTATTTATCAAAGTTGTTAATCAAAAAGATTCGTATTTGTTAGTAGTTTGTTCCCACCGAACAAAAATAATGTTGGTTTACGAAACGATGAAGTCACATAATCTAGCAGATGCGAACATAATCTTGACCGTGACTCATTTTCCACCACGCTACGACAATAATTCAAACATCACAGTCACCGACTGAAATATAAACGATCCCACTAAACGCACATTAAAAGTGATATGTTAATTTAAAATATCACAGGTTTGTTGAAATATTTTTTTACAACTACAATAATTTATTAGATGTTTTTTTCTAATTTATGGTCAGTTATAAGGAACTATTCATTAACGAAATATAACTTTTGTTTGTTTCAATTTATTATATCGCGTGTTCAGCACTAATAAATTATAAAAAAAACTATAAATCAATTATCATATCTAATTACCGGCATAACATATCTTAGATTCACAATTATAGGCATTATATTATTCTAACGGTGCGTACACATTATATAACATAACATGTCATAAAACGTGTTATATAACGTGACACAAATGTAACATTGTTATATTGCATTGTTATTCTAATGTGTACAGTATTCTTATATGTTGCAATGTTGAAAAACAATGTTACATAATGTGGACGTGTTATAAAACAAAAGTTATACATGTTACTTAATCTGTACGCACCTTTAGAGTAATTACATACATTATGTATGATATTGTTTCGTACCCATAGTACGCATGTAAGCAAATTAATACTACTATAATTATGCACATTGCCACTTTACTGCTGGAAATAATCCTCTTCTCTCAGGAAATACTGACTATAACCGCCACGCTTAGAAGACGAATTAGCGACTGAATTACAAGATTACTTGTACTTACGTCTCTTATCCCTTTCGGTTGATTTGAACATAATTATACCGTGATCTCTCAGAGACCATGAAATCTTTCTGGTATTTCACATAACCTGTTCTAACGATACTAATGACGACAGGAGCGGATTTTCTTATGTCATCACCTAGAGATAAAACTACTATAAACATATTTCTTTTTTATAGGAGAAGGGTGACAAACGAGCACACAGTCCACCTGATGGTAAGTGGTTGCTGTGGTCCATAGACATCTACATCTATCTTCGATTAAGAATCAAAATGCAGATGCGTTGTCACCCTTGAGGACTAAGATGGAATGCCTCGTTTCCAGTAAAAAGGGTCTCCGGTTCTCTACACTCACCATACGAAACACAGCAGCGTTAGGCTGCTATTTTACGCTGGTACTGGCTCATGGCTCTACCACGTATTAAATACCTGTTCTAACGATACCAATGATGATATGGGCGGATTTTCTCATGTCATCACCACACGTAGGGTCGTAAAACTACCTACTATTATTTAAAAAAAAAAAACTTTTATTGTTATATAAAAGTTTTTTTAATTAATACAACTATATATAAAAAATATGAAAGGAATAATAATTCAAATTAATTTTTAATATTACGTTTCAGGTTGCGGCGTGGAAATAAAATGGCTGTGTGCAGAATTGTAACATTGATCTGCGCCCTTATTCTCTCAGCTGAAGCTAAATTTTCCCACAATAGTCATCATCAGAAACGAGAGACAACATCTAGTATATGTGATCCAGCTTTTAACAGCACGAGTAAAATCCAATGTTATTGTGCCAAAGATTCGAGTGATATAGTACGTAGCGCTGAATGTTACCCAACACATGAAAATGTTAATCTAGATGATCCCAGTTGGTCCAAGTTTAATTTATTGAAAAATGCAACAAAACTTGTTCTAACAAATACAAGAGGTATTTCTTTGAAGTACATTCCAAGTACCGCATTAAAACACACTGAAAACCTTTTAAAGCTCGACGTTAAATATGGAAATATAGAAATAGTCGAATCATTTGCCTTTGCAAATTTAAGTTACATCGAAGAAATAGCGTTAAGCGGAAACCAAATTGAAAAATTGAGCGTTCGTGCTTTTGCACATCATAAGATGTTGGACACTATTAGTTTGGACTCTAATAATATAATCGAAATAAACAGAGACGTGTTCTTCGATCTACCTTCATTAGAGAAATTATTTCTTACCAACAACAAGATAACGACCATACATGATCGTGCTTTTATCCACTTGAAGAACCTTAAAGAGTTAGAGATTGATAGAAACAAGTTGTTCAGTTTGAACAGCGAAACCTTTTCTGGTTTAAGAGAATTGATGAAATTGGATTTAAGCGGGAATAGTTTGGAAGTTATCGGCGATAATACCTTCAAGCCTCTTATTCATTTGGTATCTTTAAATTTAGATGGTAATAAAATCCAAATGCTAGATACCAAAGCTTTTCATGGCTTATCAAGACTACAATCCCTTTCATTGTCACATAATGAACTAACCGAAATTGACAATGTAAATATATTTAAAGGACTGGATTCTTTAACGTCACTCAGCTTAAAGGGTAATAGGATTAAAGAGTTGAAGAAGGCTGTAATGGCGCCTATATTAATCAATTTCTATGGAAATATGAGCTCTTTAAATGTTGAAGGTAAGATATATTACGAATTTAATCATTTTTAGCGATATAACTAGTAACTAATAAATAATTCTTCAAAGCAAACCTAAGAGTACAGAAGTAAAAGTACAATAAATGACGATTAAATTACAATTGTTTGAAATTAAAAAAATCATTTTAAAGCAGATGTTGAAAAAGATCATGACTAAAAATCCGTGATTTTCTTAAATAAGTTAAATAAAATTAAAGTTAAAAGAAAGTTTAATTTTAACTCTAAATTACCTTTATTATTGCCAAATAATATTAACAAAGTATCAGGGAAAAAATATCAAAACGCATAACATCTATAATGTAACATATGCGTTAATTAATTTTACAAACTACTGAAACTACACCATATCACCCCGTGGTTTTCGTAACAGGCGACAGAAGGAAACTGAAACAGGAGATGAGTACCAGCATCTTCCTGATATCAATTCAAAATAATAAAAAAAAACTTGTTACTAACTCGCCTGCTGAGCGTGGCGTCTATGGAAAATACATATCGTATCCCCTCTATGAGGCAATCTATGGAAGAGGCCTATGCTCAGCTGAGGAATTTTGATAGGCTATAATGATGTTGCTGAAGATGAAGGTAGTGAAAATTTTATGTTTCTTTATCTAAATAATTGAATTATTTATTTATGAAATATATGCAGTAAAAACCTTCAAAAAAGTGGAAATCACAAAGTTTGTAACGTCAAAAATGAGCAATACTTACGAGAAAAGTGAAACTGCCATTCCTCACTAATCTCTTCGACAATAGATTTTTCAAATAAAAAGGTGTATAAAGGTATATGTAATACCTCAAGGTACTGATATTGTACTACACATTTCAAGATTCATTGAACTACCTAAGCCATAGTGACAAAATCAGCCATTTTTGTCTAATACTGCTGAGCAATATGCATCTCTTAGATTTATTTAGAAGATCTGTGTGATTAAATAACATGAATTTTATATTTGTACATTCTGTCAAATAAAAAATAAGATGTTTATGTATATTTTTATCATGTTATGCTTGAAACGTAAATCGCGTTTTATTGAGAAAAATTCAATCAAGCAATCTGGGAACTCTATGGGCGAACTCTCGTCTCGTCGTAAATCTCGCACAAATGTCGATAAATCATTTAAAATTACAACGGCGTTCATGCAAATACAATTTAATTTACAATAATTATGTATCATAATTTGTAATATTTTAATAATTACTATAATTTAATGGTTTTGTGGAATATTGCCACGCTTGGCGAGCGGGTTGACAACCGCAGGCTATGGCGCTCAGCGAGCTATGGAGAGGGCTATGCTAAGAAGTAAAAATTCCTTTTCGTGGTAAATTTTGAAATGAGGATAATCGCACTAGAAACTACTTAGTTTTTAGTGCGGATATCCTCATTTCTAAGTCTATGAGCTATGTCGATTACTTAAGCGACATAGCCCAACCGGATCATTAAGTTTAAAGTAGCAATGGTTCGGCCATATAGCTCGAAGAACCAACAACTTAATTGGGAAGTAAAGTTCTCGAGTATCAGCCTCGTACCTCGTAAGAGATGCAGATGCATGCAGGTGTCTAAGGACAGGAACAATTCTTTGTTTAACATTAGGCTTGTGAATTAGCTTTAATAATAAGAAATAATAATAATGTTTTTAGGTAGCATCAGTTGTTATATCCATTATTGTTTTACTTTCCAGATAACAATTTCCCATGCGATTGCCGTCTCGAATGGTTCATGTTGCTCATGAACAAAACTGAGAACGCCAATTTGAAACTTGTGTTAGAAAATTTTAAATGTCTTCCCGATGCGGAGCTTCGTGATAGATGGATGAAAAGAGTGGAAGCTGATAAGAGCACAAGTCCAGTGCTTGAAAATGAAGACACAGCTGGGCAGGGCGCAGACTACGAATATTATGATGATACTGAACTGAATGGGAGGTTATTTTACACAGACGTAAGGGATTTACTTAACTGCACAAAAACAGCGAGCAAAACTTCAACTGTGATAACAACTGTCAAACCCCAAGGCATTGAAAGTGGAATAGTAAATACCAAAGTCACCGCTAGTCCTATTTTTACTACCACGACTATGAAAATCGTTACCAACGAACACAAACATGATAATCTTGTAGAAGAAATTTTGAAAACGACTAAAACTCCTGAAACTTTTAAAAACAACGATAGTGAAGTAGCCAATCAAGCGATTAAAGAAAATAAGCCAAATAAATACACTACAAGTCGATTAGCAACAGTATCAGCTAAGCCGTTAGAAAAAAATCATTTCGACGATCATGATATGGCTTCAGATGAAGCTACGCCTGATAGAATAAAAGCCCACAGGAGCATTCAAGGAAAAAGTGATGACTATAACGACCTATATAGTAACGGACAAAGTTGTTTTGTTTCTAGCTTTAAAATGATGATCTTCATTAATTTACTGAATATTAGATTTTTGTTATATTAGATTACCACCTAGGGTATAAGTATAATTTATGATATTATAGTGTTAACTTAATTCCTCAGTCATTATAATAAATAAATAAATAATATTATATAATTAATAAGAAACAAATGACTGTTTTATTTAAATATAACAATTTGAAACAAGTTATTTAAATTCAGTAATGATACGATGGAGGAGCATATTTCGATAATGATTTCTTATATTTACGCATATTTCGAATTTAAATCTACATTTTCAAAATAATTTCGTGTTGAGATTTAAAAAATTTCGAATGTAATTATTTTTATCTTATAGAATAAGGCAGCTGCAAGGAAACTAGGGTCTTTGCAAGGGGTGCGGCGATACATCACGCCGGGATAGCTTCTTACCCTATATAAACGTAAGTCCGGTCGTGCATAGAGTATTGCTGTTACATATGAGCTGGTACTGCAAATTACCACCTAACAGCGTTGGACTCAGTGGAGAGACGTGCTAAGAGGCTCCTTGGTAACCTCGATATGGTTGAAACCAAACATGTCAGCTTCGAAAATAGGCGCAGAGTTGCCAGCCTATCGGTATTCTATAGGATGACTGCCTCATTGGTCTAGTGGTTGTAGTAGCAGCAGTCGCACGCCGATAATGAAGTTCGGTTCGAATATAGGGTCGGACCAAAAAAAAACAGTTACCTATTGAGTTTTACCATCAAGAAATTCTCAGTAGCTGTCCGGGGTCAGAAAATCGGCGGTTTCTCACCCCCATGTATTAGGAAGTACATAAAACCGTTGGTCTGATCTCTCTCCGGTCGTGTCGGTTTACCATCCCATCGGACTATTAGAGTGAGGGAATACACAGTGCACCTGTGCTGCCATATACACTTGAGCACTATATCTTGCCCTGCGCCGATTGCTAGACTCCCTTAAGACAGGCCGCCCTGATCAAAATTCGGTCTTGAGGACATTATTATTCCATGGGATGCATTTCGAAGAGTGTGTGCAGGAATTACATTTAATTTTAATTTCTACTTCTCCTTTCCACAATCGAATAATCAAAACCAAACGATATGTATGATATAATATTCTATTTTTGTAATTCGTACAACAAAGGAGTGAAATGAAATGAATGAAATGTAATTCGTACAAAAAAAAACTCTTGGTAGGACAACTAGTTTTCTTGCGGTTGCTTTGGCTCTGGACTCAACGAATTGCCCATATTTGAGGCTCGTAGAACCCCCAACAACTGAAGACGGTTAGTGTACTCCAAAGATACATTTCGGAGATTGGGGGCCAGGATGACGTGCTGCTTTGATCGGGCTCCTTTCATTGATCCGGTTTATTGATTTAAAAAAATACGATATATTTGGATTTTAGACTCTAGGGATAGCCGGCAGTATTATATGATAAGTAATATATATATATATATATATATATATATATATATAAGTATGAGTAATATATAGGTATAACTTACCGTGTAGTGGCAGTGTAAGAATATCCACTACCCCATATCATCCCGTGGGTGTGGTAAGAGACGACAGAGGGAAACAAATCATAAGACGGGCAGCAGCGTCTTCGTAATAACGACTGTCGTCTGTTGTCCACCCGCTTGCCAAGCATGGCAACAATGGAAAATATTCCCCCTGTTAAAAAAAATTCTAAGGGGGAGGCCCATGTTCAGCAGTGGACTATAATAGGTTGAAACGGTAAGGGTATAACAGTTCGAAGTTGAAAGAAGAACAAGGAAGGTTCTCTAAGGCGACTCTCCACTAGCTGGAGTGATGACCTGATGAAACATGCAGGTATTCGATGGATATTATTAACTTAGGACAAAGTTTGAGTCAATTTATGTGCTTTGTGATCTATGTTCAGCAGAAGACTTATGATGGGCTGTAGTGAGTTTTTGTTATATAGGATAAGGATGACAAACGAGCACACAGTCTACCTGATGGTAAGTGGTTGTTGTGGCCCATAGACTTGACATCTATCCTCGATTATGAATCAAAATGCAGATGCGTTGTCACCCTTGAGGACTAAGACCAAATGCCTCCTTTCCAGTAAAACGGGTGTCCGGTTCTCTACACTCACCATACGGAACACAGCAGCATTAAGCTGCTATTCTACGCTGGTATTCTGTGAGAGCGTGGTCCTTCCCCGGTCGAGCCGACCCATTCGTGCTACAACTACACCAGTAATATAGCTGCAGCATGGCTCTACCACGTGCACTTGAAAGTGACTGAAGTTTTATTAAACTGAAAATTTTTGGGGATGTCTGTACGGTTGTCAATTTTTTTAATTTGAAATATGATGTTTTCGAGACTTTTACCTGTTCAAATATAGTAGATAGTGAAAGAATTTGAAAATTTATAGTTGGTTCAATGGCAATCTGGAGGAAAATTTTCAGCAAGTCGACAGAACTCAGAAACGACTTTTGTTGCATTCCTTGAAGGAGGAGGGTATTGTTCAGCAGTGAATTTGGATGATGATGATAATGTTTCAAATTGATATTTTATATTTTAATACTTTGCTGTATTAAGCTCTTATTGGGAGATTATACCTTATTATACCATATTAAAACTCATTGAAATTATATGAAATACGTACTAGAATAATATAATTTAAAATTAAAAATTTTGTACAACCGACTTCAATATAAATTATTAAGAATAACTTGAAAGCTATAAGTCAGACCTTAATCAAATTTATATGGAACTACATGTGAAGCACCAGCTTTCAAATAAAAAAGAATCATTGAAATCGGTTCACCCAGTAAAAAGTTATGAGGTACCTAACACAAAAAAACACACAGTCGAATTGAGTACCGTCTCTTTGAAGTCAGTAGAAAAGAGCCTTGGTACCTCATAGACTAAGAGCCCGCTGTAAATTTCACAGTACGAGAGCAACCCAGCAACAGTGGTGAAGAAAAACATCACGAGGAAACCTGCATGTCTGAGAAATAAGAAAAAATATGTTTCGAAGACGTTAAGTTCGCCAACACGAATTGGGGCAGCGCGGCGGATATTTTCTTTACCCTAAAACCCGGACGTATATAGGCTGTTATTTTACTTTTACTTACGTACTAGAACCTCACGAGTAAAGAAATCGTACCGTACAGAGGCAATGCTTCATACAACTGCACTGTAATAGCACATGAGTAAAGAAACTGTACAGAGGCAAAGCTTCTAAGGAGCTGTCAAAATTTTTAAATATTTTGGCAGTGTATCATCATTTTAATAGTTACCAACTACGTATTCTAAATGTTTTACGTTTTTAATTATTGTTCTTCAATAATTAATTGTGGATTTTAATTTAATGGTAAATTCTAAATTTTATGTAATATTTTGTAAATAATCTATTGGAAAGCACTCCCATTTCATAACAAATATAAATCTTGGACACGTTTTAATATTTTATTTTTATTATATAATATTATATTTTTACCAATATGTAAAATGTTTCTTTCGACGGCAAAATATTTGCGAAATTTTTGATCAAGCAATTCAATAAACGCGATAAAATTGTCAGTAAGTATTATTAAAACACCCGATTGAACACTACCTTTATTAAAATCCTTGTCATGGCTGAAAAAGGAATATTTTCCCGTATTCATAAATTGTTCAGGTCGATTAAGGTACAATTTTATTTTCACACATTTATGTTGTTCGAGACAACATTTTCCATACAAATATCCCGACACAGACTAAATAATTTTTTTTCTGGTAAATCAAACAGATAATCATTTGTTCCTAAGTAACATTGTCAGGTTGCAGTGATGGTGTACTAAAATACGACAATCATTTGGTTTCACAAGTAACATATAGAAATCGTATGCACAATTTACCACCCGCCTGTCTGACATTTCCAAAAAAACTTACGAGACAATCTTGATTGAGACGTATTGTAAAGATAAATAAATTTAATTTCTTTTGATTTTAATTCTTTATGAAGTTTTATTAAAGATTTTATAGACACTTGCTCTGAGGAATTGTTCGGACTAATTCCAGCTGCTCAATTTCACCATCGCACATCGCGACAAAACTTACGATACCATCCATACCATCTGGATGATTGGCGGTCCACCACTATGCGTTTTAGAAGACGTTTTCTTCCTCGAACAACTTCTTTGTGGCATCGATTACCACCAGCGATTTTTCCGGACCGATACGATTTAGGGACCTTCAAGAAAAGAGCCTACTTCTTTTTAAAAGGCCGGCAACGTATCTGCATTTCCCCTGGTGTTGCGGTTGTTCATGGGCGGCGGTAGTCACTTACCATCAGGTGAGCCGCATGCTCGTTTGCCCCCTCTCCTATAAAAAAAGCCACTTGAATCCGTGAATGAAATTCATGCTATTTGTAACGTATCTATGCCTATTACTTCTTTTTGATTTAAAGTTCCTGAAAAAAGCTAAAAGCTCAATTTGATAACTATCGCATCGAAAAGCTCTTTTATATTTATTAGAAGACCGCAGTGTACTTGAGTTTAAGAAATCAAACAAATTATTAATTTTATTTATAAAATCAGCGGTATCTCTTGCTTGCTACTAAACCATATTTACACATTTTTATATTTCATTTGATACGAATTATTCTTTAAAAACATAATTTGACACTTAATATTTTTTAAACAACCCTGATCTTGAGCACTGGCCGAGCCGGTTTAAAGCAGTTTCGCTCTGTACATGACGATCTGCCACTGCTCATGCACACATGCGCCTTAAGCTTGTAGTAGTGTATATATAAGTATAGTGATTTGCTTGAGCAAAAATTTCGCGCATATTTTGACGTCGAAAAAAAATTGTAAATATTGGTAGTGAAATATTAAAACGCGTGCAAGATTTTAAATTTGTTATGAAAAGAGAGGATTCCAATAGATTATTTTAAAAAAAACTTTACAGTAAATGTATTATTTATCATTTAATTAAAAGCCACAACTAAGTCTGCTAGAACAGACACCGCGAACAAAATTACAGGGTAACTTTTTATAGCACCGGCAAAGTAAGTTTGAGCTCGTCGGCTCAAACACGCGTC